ATAACGTTCTATTATATATATGTATATATGTATATATTTACATATATACATAGATCCAATAGCTTAACACTATAATAACTTTTAACGCTCTATTTATGTGTTTACATGTGTATAAGTATTAAAATCGTGTAATATATGTTTGTAGCGTGTTAAAATTGCTCTAATTCGAGAAACAAACAATTATTGTTAGTTTGGTAAGAGTCAGTTCACGTGTTGAGCATTTAATGTCTGTCAGTTCGTTTTTATTTTCTCTCAAAAGTCAAAGCGTCTGTCGCGCGCATATCAAAAAAATTAACATGGTTTTTTCGTTATTATTGGGAAATTGAGGGCCACTTGTTACGTGTTTTTTCTATTGTTTGAGACAAAAAAAAAAACATTTATCGATTCGTAAATTACTTGCTCTGTTTTTACCTCTGCGCAAACTCTCCCTTATTTTAATGGTTGTTTTGTTTCATTTTTTTGGATTTTCTTGAATTTCTTATTGGTCAAATGATGCGTACTAAGTCAAGTACAATAAGTATTTTAATTTTGTTACAAGTACAATGAATTAACGGGGGTTATGAAAGCTACATTCAAGATAAATATTAATTAAAGGAACTATGGAAAATATGTGAATGATATCTAAAGTTAATTAATTAGTTAAAAGAGGACTTGTTAGGTTTATATTCAATTCACTAAAAAATAATGCATGTCGGGTTCTAATTTCTAAGCCTAAAAATATTCAATCAAGATTAAACCACCAAAATATCAGTTGTCAAGACATGAACTTTCTATGTTAATTTTTTTTTTTTTTTTTTTGAAGATATGAACTTGGTAATAGTTCTTAACATATTTCTCATAACAACTAACCAAATTGATATTATTTTGTCTTCAGGCTCATCAACAAAATTATTCATTTTACTAAAATAGACCCCACAATATGGAAACTACATTCAAATGTTTAAGAAGAATGGGTAAGACTTTTTTTTTTTTTTTTTTTTGTCATCCGAAATTAATTATAGCTCAAAAGAGCCATTCCTAAGGAATGTTGTTTACATATATGATATGAAGCGGTTCTGTACGAATTTTTCGTGCCAGATTATCCGCTTTTACATTAGCATTTCGAGAAATTAAAGATAAAGAAAAGGATGATAATTCTTCCTTTTCAATAAATAATGGGTAAGACTTGACCATACAATATTTGCACGTCATTGCAATAAATATGATGATATATTAAAATGACAAATTGGTAGATTTTTTTTTTTTTGTCACAAGAGAGTGTTATTGAACAAACCAAAGGTTGGTTACAAGGCCTAAAAGCCCACGCTGATTCTGCAGAACTAAAAAAGTTAAGCCCAACAAGGATCTACCAAAATTACATCGAAAGCAAAAGGAGTTTAGACTTTTGGACTCTATCGAAATCACGAGTCATCTTGAGATTACAACTGTAACACGTGTTGATGAGTCATCAGAAGGGTACCGACATCAATCTCCGTCGCCGACGAGCACCGAATCCGGTGAGGAAAGCATCGCCGAAACATCGCACGAAGAATCCTTGTTTACCACCGAATTTGATCTGAACGGAGCTCAATATAAAAAGACGACAAAAGGGTATCATAATATGCTTCGGAATATTCTTCAATCCTTTGGACAAGATGTAATAATCACTTGAACTATTTCCTGCAAATCAAGGTTTCTAAAGACACAAGTCGGAGATATTAATCTTAAGCAACCATCACCTATAGACTAATTACCAACTCAGATCCATAGTATTATTATAAAAAAAAAAACAAAAAGGAACCTAAAGCAATCGGTATACAACCGATCGACGGCGAGGAAGGATAAAAACCAGCCAAAACCGCTTATGGAAGCCGGATTTGCCGGACAAAAACCGGCTATCTCCCCTAACGGAGCTGGAGGATACCGGGCAAAAGCCCAAATCACTTGGGACGGCTAAACGTCGGATAAAAATCCGATCGGCAACAGCAAGAAGTGTTTCTCTCTCTAAAGGATATGGGAGAGAGAAGAGAAAGAAAACTTCCAGCCGCGCGTCTGTAAGAGAAATTGGTAGATAAAAACCATTTTAAACGTAATTTATTTATGTAACATGTTTCATTCTTCTATATACGAATTTATCAATAATTCTTTTTTTGCTATATAAATGAATGATATATCATATACTGTATGATTTTTTATATATATTAAAAAAAAGTTTTTATTTTTGTGTGTTTATATGTGGCCAATCAAAATGCATAATACGCAACTATCAGTAGTAAATATCTAAATCATAACACATGTTAATCAACTAATCATCTCTATATATGTAAATAGGTAAAAAAAAAAAAAAAAAATCATTCTAAGATATCAGAAATCCAACATCTAGGTAGGAGCTCTCTCGCTTCTCTCTAAAGTTTTTGTCATTTCTCTCTCGCTTCTCTCTAAACCTAAGTCTTTTTGTGCGCCGTCAGCCTCTCCGGCATGCCCTTCAGGCGCCGGAGAGGGCATTAGCTTCCCTAGTTCTTGTTCTTCTTCCACGGCGTGGTTCTCTTCTTCGGCGAGGTTGTCCTCCGTCTCTGTCTGGTCTCCGGTGGTGGTTCTGGTTCGAGATTCGGCGCGTGGTGGTCGATCCGCCTTTGTGTGGCCGCTGCTGTTCTATTGGCTCCGATTGCTTGAGGACAACATCGATTTCGGTGGTGACTTTAGCGGATCTGGGTCTGGTGGTTCGTCTGTTGTCCATTTCTCTCCGATGGTTTGTTGGCTTTAAGGGGTTTTGGGGTTTCTGGTCTCTTCTTGTCGAAGTAGTTCCAGTGGTCGCTTTTTTGGTGAGTTCTCGCCGGATTTGTCGATTCTCTCCTCTCCAGGCGGTACGGTTCTTCGTTGGTCAAGGTTCTGGTTCGTGGGAGGCCGTTGGGTAAGCTCTTAATTTTAAGGTCTTGGTATTTGCATTTGGAAGGTGGCTCTGAGCAAATCTAATCTCCGACAGCAGAGGTGTGGTGGTTTCTCCCATTTGATGCGGCTGTGGCTCCGTTTTGGTGGAAGAGAAGAGCCGAAGTCGTGTAACTCTAGTTCAAGGACGCTAGTGGTTCACGGAGGTGTCTTCTCGAGGCTCATCTTCCAATTTGGTAGCTGCGGTTCGCGGCGGAAGTCGGTGGGAGAACGGAGGGTTGCGCTGTTTGTTTTGGCGGTTAACTGCGGAATTTGTTGGATTCCTAGAGGGCGCTCGCGATTCCCGGTTTATGGAGGCTATTTGAGCCACAAGCTGATGTAAACCGACGCGTTGCTAGCATCCGCCGGACCGGATTGATTTGATCTTGCTCGGAGTTGAGGAGGACGCTTGATCTAGAGGAGTGGTGTTAGAACCCAGGGGGTTAGGTTGCTAGGTACGGGACCTAACTCCGGTAGAGCCTGTTGTCGGGGATTTAAGCGGTCCGGGATTTCTGTGGCGGGTTAGGTGGGTCATCGGGAAGGAGCCGGACATGGAAATCAAACGCTTCTGTCGACGGATCTGATCTAGTGGCATTGCCGCAAAGCTGTGGGGGTTGTGTTTGCTGGTACTACTGTTCAAATCCCTGCCTCCGGTCGTCAGCAGGTTCCGATCCACTCCTCCGGTGATGGATTTTTTTTTTCTCTTTCTCCTTTTTGTACCTGTTTTCTGTTTTTGTAAAGTCCAAGGCTTTGCCCTTTTTAAAGAAGTCCCATTTTAAATATATATAATGGTAATTTAAAAAAAAAAAAATCCAACATCTAGATTATCAATTATTTTCCAAAACATATTCACACGAGTATATGGTTTCAATTAGTTTCTACAAATTAATGAAATCGTGTAACGGCGAATTCAACAGCGATGATGAGAAAAAATAGCATAGAAGACGAAAGCGGCTCAAGATAAAATAAAAAACGATGATGAAAATAAACTAAACAGAATAGTGAATGTGAGAATAACAACATATCCAGAAAACGAGAGAAGAGGAAGTTTAAGAAAACATATCTAGGAAAGGAGAAGAAGATGAACAAGAATTATGAAGAAACAGATCAAAACTACTAGTTGGAGAAACATCTATACTTTGGATTAAGTTTACTATTAATTAACCGATCGTTTTATACTCGGTTTTTGGTTTAATATTGTTTATTTCGTTGAACCAAACTCAAACCAGACTTTGATTCGGTTCAGTTTGGCTGGTTCGGTTCAGATTTACTTGCTTTTATTAAAAGAAGCAAAAATGCTTAGTCATACAAACACGTGTCAACAAAAGAGTGCTTGTTCAATGGCGAAGCAACTCCCGCGACTTATTTGGAATCAGTTAACTACTCTCTCACACTACATCTTTATAAAAGAAAATCTCTCCACATTCTTCACAATTACACAACGAAGAAAAGAACGATGGCGACAGATGTAGGAGGAGATTCGATTGCTACGGTGGCTGAGAAAGCCCCCATCACGGCGGAGAGGAGAGTCCGTACTGATCTTGACGATCGCCTCCCTAAGCCATGTTCGTACACTCTCTCTCTTTCGATCTTTTTTTTTTTTTTTTTTTTCCAGTTTTTGTATATATTTATACATTTTATGTTTCCAAAATTATACTTATTTATGATTTTCTTCGAATCTCTCTCTCTTTCAAGATTTTCTCAAAGTTGATTAACGTGATTTAAATGGATCATTCACAATCTATGAAAGTTTTTGTTAGTCATATTGTTACACAAATCTTCTCTAAGTTGAAAATCAGTTTCTAGAATTTTCCAAATCGGTTTAAATTGGTTGTATCATTTCTTAGTGTTGGCTTTTAGTTTTATATGACTTCAGAAATGTGAATTCCAAAACGTACGTTACGTTTAGTTTAGAATAGTGTGTTTGGTGGATTGATCAAAAACAGATGTGCCTCGAGCAATGGTTGCACCTGACATGGAAAACGTTAACGGGACAAGAGGACACAAGCACCAGGACATGTCGGTTCTTCAGCAGCACGTTGCTTTCTTTGACCAGGATGGTGATGGTATCATCTACCCATCGGAGACATTTAGAGGTATCGTATCTATGAAAATCTTTATAGCAATCAATGCAAAATACAGAATTAAGATTTCATTATATAGTCTCTTTTGAATTGCTCAGGATTTAGAGCACTTGGTTTCAATGTGATCTCTAGTTTCTTTCTAACAATCATTGTGCATCTTACAATGAGTTATGCTACATTGCCTGTAAGTTCATTTCTCATGAACATCTCAATTAAGATGTTGAGTTACGTTAGTGTCCTTTATATTTTTTGGTTCTCCTTAAGATGTCTTCTTTTTCAAAAACCAGACTTGGATGCCTTCTCCTACCTTCCCAATCTACATCAAGAACATCCATAGAGCCAAACATGGAAGCGATACCTCAACTTACGACACCGAAGGAAGGTTTGTCTCTCAATCAACCTTTGTCCATGATGATACTTATTTGGACTTGTAGTTACAAATGTCTGAAAATTTCAGGTACATTCCTGCAAATCTTGAGAACATGTTCAGTAAGTATGCACGTACAGTGCCTGACAAGCTAACCCGTTATGAGCTGTGGCAAATGACTGAGGCTAACCGCAACGCATTTGATTTCTTTGGCTGGTCAGTCCCATCTTTTTCACTCTTCCTAATGGGCTTTCTATGTCTCTCTCTTAATGGTGTGAAAATGGAAACAGGGCAGCGAGTAAAATGGAGTGGGGAGTACTCTACTTACTGGCCAAAGACGAGAATGGTCACTTATCGAAAGAAGCTGTTCGGAGATGCTTCGACGGGAGCTTATTCGACTACTGCGCCAAGGCGAGAGCTTCTACTAAGAAGACTGAATGATGGATGACACGCGTACTTGTTTCTTGAGCTTTAGGCAGTTTAATGTCTTATATAAGTAACTTTGTTTTAATCTCTCATCTTGTTATATGGTTCTTTTAGTTGCTGGATGTAAGTGACTGCGTTGTTGAGGGATATCAAGATGCTCAATGTGTCACTGTGTCACTGTGTTATATTTCTTAGGATATTTCAAGGACTGGATGAACTTGAAAAATACCCAACAGCAAAAGTAGTGAAGCCTATATATGAGATGGGAACTCCATTCTCTGAATGAGATAATGCAAATAGCACGAAGCCTGGTTTGCAAAAAAGAAAAGAAAAGAAGAAGAAGCATGAAGCCTGGTTAGAGACAAATTTAGTTCTAATTTGAGGCAAAAGAGAGAGATATAGGACATTTACAACTCTCTCGAGCAACTGCAAGTACCATAGTAAAAAAAACGTCATCCATTGGATTATGGAACCTAAACTCCGTACGTCGAATCTCTAATCATTAAAAATGTAGTAACTTATATTCACTTGGTAACACAAGGTAAAGAATAAAATTTCATATTACTGATTGTTATTTTTATTTTACAACTTTACAAATTACTTTATATAAAATTATTTTGTATTAAAAATTGCCGAATGCATTATTTGTAATTTTCATTTATCAAATAAAAAAAATACAGCTTGATTCTGTTCTTAAAGAGTCGAGCTATATTGATGCAATTGAAAAATCATAACTTTGAAGTTTTTTTATTCAATAGTTATATGCTTTTTGTGTTTTTTTTTTTTAATTATTATATGCTTTAGAAAGAAAGAAAAAACGTAGCAGCCTTATTCAATGTTGATGTTCTTGGTTAGCTTACTTTAGTTAGTGTCACAATCTAATATCAGTAGTAATAAGGCTATAAAAAACACCTTGCACGTTGTATTATCCTCTAGCTTATAAATCTCGAGGAGTTTAGATATAATAAATCTCAATGTACATTTTATCCAGGAGTAAAAAGGTTGAAGTTAATTGTTACTACATACAGTATTTAATGTAGTAAAAAGGATTGAAATCAAAAGTATTGTATACTATCTTAAACATGAAACCCAACTGGAGACTTATTAAGATAAACATAAAGATAAAAAAAAAAAAAAAAAAAAAAAAAAAAAAAAAAAAAAAGATAAACATAAAGATGTAAATGAATTTCAAGGAGGAAAAAAACCATACCTGGTTTCAAAGCCTGATACATCTCCCTCATGACTTTATGTCTATCAACAACGTTTGTAAGACCATTGATCCATTGTTATAGCATTGAATTTACTGTCATCAAATGGCAAATCGAGAGCATCACATTCAATCCACCTATCAACACATTGAAGACGTATTGGTTTTGATACTTTTCCCAAGAGATGTTAGAACACAAACAACAAGCATGATTTTACCAGTCCTCACTCTATATAATTGTAACAAGACCTTGCCCGAAGTATCTGTGTAGATGATGTAAAAGCTAGATTATGTCTAAATCCAGAACGCAATCCCCTGTCAAATGGATAAGTTCATGAAAGAAAAGAAAGGACTTGTAAACCGCATCGAAAAACTCTTAAGCCAATAAAACTTAAAGATTGATGAAAGTTTAATATTCACCAAAACCATAGAACGTTACCATTATAGATCTCACTGTTTCTATGTGGAGATTAGTTGTTGTAAGACCCTCTGTTATATGGAAACAATTTACTTTGATGATCTCTAATTCTTTTATTTCTTATGAGTTTGCTCTTCTTCGACATCACATATATCAACTTTGAAGGCGCTCTGTTCCTGGCAATATACCATCGTTTTTCAGCATCCACATGAACGCATGCAGAAGAATCATGGTAAGATAAGAATGAAGGAACCATATCTCATCACAAAACCTATATGGTATAACAAAATCTATAAATCCACCAGATAAAACTAATCTTTTTAGTTACCAGCTGAAATTCCAAATTAGTATCTTAAATGTTCAGATTTTTTACCCCAAAATTCTCATATTTATGCATAGAAGTGAGAAAAATATAAATCTGCAGGCATGGTACATTGTTTTCATTGGAGGATTAGTCATCACAATCACAGTATATGAATTTATTATAATCCATTTTTTTACAGACCTAGAAGAAGATTAAACTCCCAAAAGAGTAGAAGCAAAACCTAAAGACGTAGGAGCAAATTATCGCACTTCCCTAGCTCCTCAAGAGTAGTAAATCATGCTTAAACCCACGACCTTCACGTACTTGTTAAACGTCTTGACCAACGATTTTGTAACTGATCGGAGAGATTGGAACAAATTCTCAGGGGCTCCTCAAGCTCCAAATTTTGTCTCAAATACTCCTCAATGGTAAAAAGACAAAATTACCCTTAATGAGGGTTGATTTCGGGTGATAAAGGTTAAATACAATTAAATCGGTAAGTGTTCAACGAAAAACACAATAGCTCAGTGGTTGCGAGCTCCATGCGCACGCGCGCGCCCCCAGGATTCGAACCCTTTTATACGGGTTGTAACTGGTACAACTAGGGAATATTCGGCTACAACTAGTAGCTGGTACAACTAAGGTCTGTTACAACTAGGAGGAGGTACAACTAAGGTCTGGTACAACTAAGGTCTGGTACAACTAGGAGGTTACAACTAGGAGGTGGTACAACTAGGAGGTAGTACAACTAGGATACCAGTTGTACCACATATACCTAGTAAAGGGGTAGTTTCGTCCTTTCATTAAAAGGAGGAGAGTATGTGGATTAGAGGAGAGTATGTAGATTAATTCTTTGACTCTGAGGAGCAATTACACATAAGTAATACCCCATCTGTTTTATAAATTAAATAGATATTTTTATTTTGTTCGTGTAAATTAAATAGATATAAAATCCATGTAACTAATTTTAATTTAATT